TACCATTCAATTAAAAAAAAAAAAAAGAAATGCTTTTAATCTACCTTTGTTTATCACATTTACAAAGTTCCATTTTGTACAATTTTTTATATGGTAACAAATTACAAGTAAAATAGGAAAATTACCCTTGAGACAATAAAAAGGTATAAAAAGTACTTAATATTGAGCTATGAAAAAAGTAAATGGAACTAAATTGATTTCCACACTTAAGTTTGAGTAATGCAAAATGAACCGAAATGCAGAAGGACAAATTATGGGAATACAGAGAAAATACACAGATGGTATATCACACAATATTTTCTAAATAAAATAAGAAAGAAAGCTCTAAAAATAAATGGCTATTCTATGGAAGAGTAGGAATAAAGGTATCTGTAAAAATACCACGTTATATATATTATATCCTGCTGAGAAAAACCTATATTTTTGAAACTTCTAAGACACTTAATAATTCTCAATGGAACTAATGGCTGCTTTGGCAGAGGGTCAGGAAATGTGGGATAGGAGATAGTTGTGGGATAGCATTCATTTATGTTACTCTAAAACCTCTCATGAGAAATCCTAGGAAAGACAACATTATGGCAGATATCCAGAAAATGGTACATGTAATATGGCCTTTATATTTACAAATTGGCATTTGGGGATAATTAGTGAAACTAACAGGTTGATAATATCTTCAAAAGCAAAGCAATGTTTTGGCATATTATTTCACCATTTACAGAGTCTTATTTCATTTAGGCAAAGAATTCTATTTTCCCTGTTACAGATTATTAAAGAATTATTTTTTGAAGAAACTAAGCCACTCAAAATTAAAGATTTACAGACTAATATGTCAGATCTCCCCCCTCCACAAATTAAGACATTCATTTTTCATTGGTAACCTGATCACTAGGCAATGTTATATATAATACATAGTGAAATATAAATGAAAATAATTCTACAAAAATAGAGAGAATGAAATCAATGAAGGAAAATAGCAAAAAAATTATCATAATATAGGTAGAGAGAAAAAGTATTATTTTCTTTAAAAAATGGCTATCCATAAAGAAATAATCAGTAAATATTAAGAACTCTTGCTTGTTTAAAATTGCCAAAAATAATATTTTGAGACATAAAAATTCAGTCAGAAAAATATTCTGGGAAATGTAACAAAAGAGAAAAATGGCAAGGAGAGAATACATAAGATAAGAAATATATATAACATAAGGAACAATGTGAAAAATACAACTAATTGTAATATAAGAAAGAGAAAATGATGTTGGAAAGGAAATTTTGAAAGAAACTCATGTTGTTGAGTTCTGTAAAGTTTACATAAATTATTTCTGCCTTAGGGAAAACTGTATATAGTCCATATTGGAGCAGGAGTTATATGTGCTCCAGGAGTGGTGTTTTATGAAAATAAGTAATCTGACAGACCAAAGCATACGGGCTATTATCCTGACAAAGTTATTATACAGCATGTAGCTTTGGAGGATGATTCAAATAGTCAAGGACAAGTAAGTAATTATTAATGTCAGGAGAAAAAAAAGTTGAAAGAAAGGAAATGTAATAACTGTGCACGGTGCACTACTTGGCCCAGCAACAAATAATATATTGCTATAATAACTAAAACTCCACATAAAAATTTAACCGAAATTTAAGGTATAATTATATTAGGAAAATAAAGAAATGGGGTTAAACTTGCAAGTGAAGAGAAAAGCTTGTCATTAAATAATGTCTTCATGAGATAAATAATGAGGACAGTCACCAACACTGTGGCACAAGATAAAGTGAAAGAAGGAGAGGAACAGTGGACTGCAGTTCTCGGTTATAAGTTTTGTTGGTACTATATTAATTTAAAAATGAAATCATGGTGGCTCATGTCTATAATCTTAGTACTCTGGGAGGCTGAGGCAAGTGTCCCTTTATCTATTAAATATGCATTATAAAATTTACAAAACATTTACAAAATATTCTCTACATGTTTGCCACCTCTTTGTAAAATTTCCCATGTCCCTGTGTATGACAATTTTAAGGGCAACCTTTCAGACACCTTGTAATTCTTAAAACTGAGGAAAAAACTAACTTCATGGGACCCTCTATATCAACTAAGGAATTCCTACTTCTGTATTCTAAATGAGAGTGAAGTAACTTCTATCACATACATGCTATTTTTGTGAGCCTTCTCTTACTACCTGCCAAATGAAATTATTAACTGATACAAAACCCATTATTTTATGATTAATGACAATTTAGCTTAATAGCAGAACTATAAAAAATATAAACGTGACTTTTCATGAAAAATATTTAAGCTAATATGATTGAAAATAAAGCCAAAGCTTGTCAAAACTATAGTATGTATAGCTATCCTTGAATGTATGGAGAAAGTGAGTAAATATTCACCAAATAATTCAAAATTTCAAGATACTTATTCACTTTTCCATGTATACAGAATTTTAGTAACCTGTTCCTTTGGAATAAGAATATTATCTGAAAAAGAATTGTCATTGTTTCATTTTATATTCAATGCATTTAATTTTGTTAATGTACATTTTGACTTAATTATTTGAAAATTGATTGTACAATAAAGTACTAAATTGACCTGTCTTTAATTATATCTTATATTTATAGGAAGTTACTTACCTGAGAATTTGTTTTATGTGTTTACCAAAATTCAAATTCATAGACATAATTTAAGTGATACAGAAGAATCATATAATAATTTAACTTTTTAATATTTCTATTTTGTAGAATCAATATCATATTCTGTTTTTTTTTTTTGGAACACTTAGATGCTTAGGTGTAAATCATAGGCCTACCTACAATGACTATTTCATAGTACATACCTATTGCTTGAACACAACATGGTCGAATAAGTGGTGCTATCCGTGGAGTCAAAGGAGAAGACAAATTTTCAGTAAAGTGTTGGGATGCATCGAAGAAATTAATTTGAACTTGAATAGTAAAGTCGAATGTTGCTACCTGATAGATAAAAAATACATTAGACTTGCAATTTTTTGCTTTGAGAAATATGTGATGCTATTGATCTAGCAAAATAGCAGCTTATAAAAACAGTTTTCAAAAATAAAAATATCTTATGACATTGAAACTACTTTTAATGAGTACAAAATTGATTCCAAAGAATAAAAGTATAAAAAAATTATAAGTAATTCCTATTTATTTACAATGAACCAAAAATCTAAATATAAAACCCAAAGCTATAAATATTTGGAAAGAAAATGTAGGAGAAAAATCTTTATAAACCTGGGCTAGGCAAAGATTTCTTAAATGAGATAACTAAAGAACAATTACAAAAGAAAAAAAAATTCTTAAAGTGTCTTGTATCATATTTTTTTAAATGTTATGTTAAAGACATTGTAAAGAAAACAAAATTATAAGCCAAAAGCACATTTCTTACAAAAAACTAACATGTTTACAAAATACATAAACAGCACTGAAAGATCAAATTAAGAATGAACTAACTAAAGAAAAAAATGGTAAAAGAAGATAAATGACACATTAGCATATGAAAACACGTTTCATTATCACTAAACATTTGGGAAATACACATGTAAACTACATGAGATGTCACTTCATACCTATCACAACTGCTTAAACAAAAATAACTTATGAGCACCTAATATATTTATATACTGCTGATAGGAATGCAAAATTTTGTAGTCATTTTGGAAGACATTTTTCTAGTTTATTAGAAAATTAGGTGTATATTTTAAACTAAGGTCTAGGACTCCCAAACCTAGATGTTTACCAAAGAGAATTGAAAATTTATTCATAAAATGTTTATAAGGGCCTTATTATTTTTATTTTTTGAGGCAGCATCTGAAGCTTTCACCATAGCTCACAGCAACCTCAAACTCTTGAGCATAAGCAATTCTCTTGCCTCAGCCTCCCAAGTAGCTGGGCCTACAGGTACTCACCACAACACCCAGCTATTTTTTGTTGTTGTTGCAGTTGTCATTGTTGTTTTAGCTGCCCTGGGCTGGGCTTGAACCTGCCAACCTCAGTGTATGTGGCCCATGCCTTACCCACAGAGCTGGGTGCTGCCCAGGGGGCTTATTCTTAATTGCTAAAAACTTAAAACAATACAAATGCCCTCTATATAATGAATGCATAACAAAATTTGGTAAATTCATACAACAGAATACTTGTCAACAATAACAAGAATGAACTACTGTTGCACACAATTGTGTAGAATCTCAAATGCTTTCTGCCAAGTGACAGAAGTCAGACTGAAAAGAACATACAGCATGATTTCATTCATATGGCATTCTGGAAAAGCAAAAATTATAGGATGAAAATCAGGTTAATGTTTACCAATGACTAGAATTGGAGGGCAGATTGGCTACAAAAATGTACAAGAAAAATTTAAAGAAGGTGATGGAACTGTTGCCTATATTGATTTTGGTATTTATTGTGCAACTGCATACATTTGTTAATATTCATAAAACAGAAAGAAAATGTTACATAAATTTTAAAAATATGAAATGAAAAAAAATTAAAGCTAATTTCCTAGCTCTAATTTTTAAATATCAGTCTTCAAAATCCAGACCTCGATACAGTTAAATAACTTAAACAGTGTCATAAAACAAAACACAACAAATTTAATTGATTTAAATGACACAAAGCATGTTTTCTAACTACAAGGGAATTATAGTAGAAATCAATAATAGAAAGAATTTGGTAAATTCACAAATATGTGGAAATTAAACAGCACACCCTAATTAATCAATGACTCAAAAATAAACTATATAAGAAATTCTAAAACATTTTGATAAGTAAAAATGAAAATGCAATACATCAAGCCTTTTGAGGTAAAGGAAAAGTAGTGCTTAGAGGGAAACGTTTATCTGTAAAGCTGATATAAAAAATAAAAAAGATCTCAAAAAAATGCCCTAATAAACAGGATTTGATTAAACTAACTAAAAATCTTCTAAACAGCTAAAGAAACATTCACCAAGTGAATAAAAAATATTTTTTGACATAAGAATACTATACTCTGATTGCCATATATAAGTTTGATTCTGGTTTGCAAAGATGCAGCAACATGCCCCTCCGTATCATGGGTAAAGAGAAGCTGGGTCACCTCTATGGTTTATCCTACAAGGGTACAAGTGAATCTTTCTAAAATCAGAGTATGAATGTCTTAACTCAATAACTAAGAAAATGACATGAAGGCTATGTTAACCAGTTTGATGAGAGTATTTCAAAATGTATATGAAAACACCACACTGTACCCTGTGATTGAATTAATATGCACAGCTATGATTTAATTTAAAAAAAAGAGAGAGAGAAGCTGGGTCCTTGGCACTTTCATTATAGAATCTACGACGCAAAAGTATACTAGAGACCAGAGCTGACTCCCAAAATTTGTATACACTTTCCTTCTGGGCATATTCCAGGAAAGGAAAGGTGGAATTTTTTTTTTAATTGTTTGTGTGGTGGTCATGTTGTTTGCTCCTTATATATCAAGAGAACATTGTGGACAAGAATTGGTATCATACCAAGCCCTCTTAAATCATTAAAGCATGTCTGTGATAATTTTAGGTAGCGATTCCAAGAGCACGTAAGCATATACCACTCAAATATAAATATAAAGCACAAGCTTGCTGGAATATAAGTGATTATCTGGCAAGTCTAAAATTTCCTTTACAGTATGTTATATCTTGAATTTTCTAGACTGCATAACAAGGATCACACAATTATAGGTCTCCTGTGTGTGCCCTCTGTTCCTCCTGAGGCACTGTGCAAGCACAAGCCAGATACTTCTAGCAGTCATTTCAATGAATTTAAAGATTATATACAGTCATACTTACAGGTCAGAAAGTGATTCCCTTACAGACAGAATTTAGATGATCTTTGTTAGTTCTTGGTTAGGATTACCCATAATTCCTACAGTCTCAAGCAATATGAGGAAGAGAAAGGAGAACTTACTTCTTTTGGGGAAAAGACCAGGCCACCTTCTACAGATGTATTTTCCCCTATTTCCAAGGCATGTATGTAAGGAACCGTAGGGTCTGTGAATTTCCCTATAAGACATGAAAAAGTACATATAAACTAGATCCAGGTACACATTTATAACAATTATTTAATGTGGAAATGTGAGTTTTTAGAAACCTCATCAGTATATTCATAACAATCACAAAACAGTTACTAAAATATTTACAGGTGTGCCTAAGGATACTGGGTAAAGAATTGCTCTTAATATCTTGATTACAATTAGCAAAACTGATACACAAACACAGAACAAATATACATTCAATCAGCAAAACAGAGCAGCAAAACAAAGATGGTAAACTTATTAAATAAATAAAATAACCTCAGAAATTCCAAAAGCATACTCAAACAAATGTGGAAACAAATAAAGGACAAGGGCAAGTAACTAGCTGAAACTTAGATCCAAGAACAATTGAGAGATTCCCCTTCTAGTAAAGATGGAGTACAAAGGACCCAGAACACCTCTGATGCCTCTGAGTCCACAAGGAATACAAGTTCATACACATCATCTCACTGATAATTTACTGTTCATTTATTGAAGACTTCTAAGATGTGTTATTTATCATTATAGACTCAAAATCCAGTATCTCGCCTGTTATTAGGGTTCAACAAATATGTATGGAAGAAGAAATGAATAAACCAATGGTCCGGAAACTTATCTTATAAGGGTCCAGATAGTAAATATTTTAAACTTTATGAGCCATGGTTTCTATCACAAATATTCAACTCTGCCATTATAGCATAAAAACAGCCATATGCAATATACAAACAAATGTATGTGCTTATGTTCTTAAAAAGCTTTATTTATAAAACAGGTATCAGGCCAGATTTGGCCCATGGGCATTAATTTGCCAACAGTTAGAGTAAACATATGAAATACACTTATGAAAATGCTTATTTTATTTAAACCTAATTTAACATAAAGATACCTAATAAATGAGTAACACATGTAAAGATCTTTCTAAAGACATTTATCTAAAATTATTGGTCAATTAATAATTTTATTACCCTTTGCAATATATACTTAAATATAACATATTTAAGTTACTATATTAAACCATCTAATAAGGACAGTTATATGTCATGTATTGCCAAAGTGTTTTGGTATTACTATTGATGAATTTCTAGAAATTAAACCATGGTGAGTTATAAAATATAAGGAAAAAGTGCATTAGGTCATTAAAACATTTAGGAATAATTGCCCTTGACTTAAATTATTTTTAACAATTATACCTTAGAGCAATTTTAAATGGTGCTGCTATTACAATAATATCATTATAATATAAAGTATATACCTGATTTGCCTTTAAAATCCATTGAAAAATCTGGAAAGTCTTCTAGATTAAATCCCACTCTGGCACGTGTTATGCCTTTATTTGTTATTACAAATGGAATGGTATGGGTAGCACCGACATAGATGCCACTAAACTGAAATATATCCTAAAATGTAAAAAATAATAATTAGAAGCAGAGTATTATTTTATAGAAAATTTAAACTAAAAATTTGAATGTTGTGTCTATCAAGGAAATTATTAACTGCAAAAAAAAAATTAGTCACATTTTCCTTTCTCTCCTCCACCTTCTATCCATAATAAGTTAATAAATTCTATTAATTCTTTCTCTTTCTTTATTTCTTAGTCTTAGTGTGACTATATGAAATGAATAACTTTTCATTTACTTTCTGGATTTTGACTTTCTCAAATTCTCCTCTCTATAATGAAGCCAAAACTAAAGTAATTGATAATCTGACCATACAACTTCCTGTCTTTGAATCTGATGGTTCCCCCATTGATGTGATAATGTCAAAACTCATTAGCAGGGCTAATAAAACTCACCATAACCTGCCCTTGCCTCATGTTCTAGCCTCTTTTAATTCCACTCTCATCCTATCACTTAATATTCTACTAACCTGTATGACTTGTCATTTCCAACCAGTACCTGATGCTTCACCTTCTGTGTCTTGGCATCCTTTCTGTCAGAAAGGCCATTCTTTCACTTGTAATTTCCTGATAAACTACAATAAATCACACTCTGCCCAGTATTATTTCTGTTTCTTATATTTATATACATTGTGATATCACGTAGACTGCTTGTTCATTTCTACATCTGTCTCTCCTACTGGATCTTATGCCTGATTTATTTTTGTACCCATAACTCCTGTCACCTACTTTAAATATATAAGCACTGTTTTCTTAATAATCTGAACTCCAGATCATACACTAGGCATGTACTTATACCACAAAACTATAGAATTCCTCCTTGTGGTAGAGTTACTATAGATATCACAGAGTTCCTTAATTAAAGAATTGCATATAACATCCAAAGAAGGTCGAGGAAACATTATTCTGATATGGAGGAAAATACTGTATTAAAGACAACTAGCTACTATTTGTTTCATTTCAAATATAAACCCAGTTCTATATGTGAAGTCTACAAAATCTGAAAAGAGTAATGAAAACTTGACGTTTTATAAATGTAAAAAAAAAAATCACTGTTCTTATCCCATTCTGGCCCCGCTTACATGCTCATTTGAATAAAATTGCCTATTTGTTATAGGCAAGAAACCTAGTCAATTCCATATCCCTTACTATAGAGTTAATAAATGTATTGCTGAAGATATCTAGTGATGCTAACATATTATTTTTAAAAGGGGGCTACATCTAAAAATCCAACATAATAAGGGCAGATGGAAAAATATGTTAATGTAAGGTTTTATGAATTATTCAATTGTACCAGGGAATGCATGCCTCAAATGACTTTAGGATGGGAAATGGAAATAATAAAAGTCTCACTATTGACTAATATTTTCCAAGGAAAGCTACTAGATACTATAGCAATGGAAAAAAGAAAAGACATTCTAAATACTATGGAATCTAATCTCTGGGAATCACATTAGCCGGGTACAAGACAGCTTAGTATTTGTCAGTTTATCTGGATTTACGCCTTCAACACTGAATAAAAGACAAGTTAGAAAAATATGACCTAAAGCTAGACCCTAGAATTTGGGTGATGCCATTAAACATGCAGACTAACAGTGAGGCTGCCAGCTGACCTCTTTATTGTCAATATTTGCTCAATTTAGTTCAGCACCAGATAATCCTAGGCATTCCAGTACTAGTAGGAGAGAAAAACAGAAGGGGATATAACCCCAAAATAATATGACAACTGCTCTGATGGAGGTGTTCCTGGAGTATAAGATGTTTGTAACATCTTGTAAATGTCACAATGGGGAACATATGGGGCTTCTTTGAAGAATCAGGAAAAGTTTCTTTGGGCAGATGAGGCCAGATCTAATTCCTACAGGATTGGACAAAAAAAAAATGATGTATTGTGTACGTGTGTGTGTATGTGTCTGTGTGCTATCAATTGTAGGACATAATTTTATCAGAGTACACATAATTCAAAACACAAATGTAACTAGAGTTCAGAAAATAGAAATCAAGACCACAGTGTCCTATCATTTTATATTCAATCTACTGGCAAAAATTAGGTTGGCATGGTGGTTCACATCTGTAATTCTAGCACCCTGGGAAGCTGAGACAAAAGGATTGCTTGACCTCAGGAGTCTGAGGTCTCTGTGAGCTAGGCTGATGCCATGGCACTCTAGCCCAGGTGACAAAGCAAGATTCCATCTCACAAAAAGATGTACATATGTTGGCAAAAATTAAATCTAACAGTATATCTTGTGGAGAAATGGAATGTGAAGTAATGTAAAGAAGAAACTGTAGAAATTATCTTGTAAGTCAAACATGCACATAAATCTATGTCTCAGGAACTTCACTCTTAGAGATTTCTTGTATATGTACCTCAGAAACTATGCATATGAATGCTCACAGCTACAATGTTTTTATTAGCAAAGAAACCCAGAAACACCTGTTTGGATGGACAATGGAATGGTTATATGTAGTATATCTACACAAAGAACTATCATTCAGTAGCAACAATGAATAACATGCAGTTTGGCCATAGCTCATTGCTTAAGGCACTGGCCACATACATCAGGGCTGGTGGGTTCAAACCTGGCCCCAGCCTGCTAAACAACAATAACAACCTACAACAAAAAATAGCCAGGCATTATGGTGGGCGTCTGTAGTCCCAGCTACTTGAGAGGTTGAGGTAAGGGAATTACTTTAGCCTAAGAGTTTGAGGTTGCTGTGAGCTGTGATGCCACAGCACTCTACCGAGGGTGATATAGTAGACTCTGTCTCAAAAAAACAAAAAATAACATGCAGTTACACCCAAATTAGATGAATGTTTAAGAAAAAATGTTTAATTAAAAATAATTCACAAAGGCTGCAAATAGTTATAAAACTCAAAAATAAAAAAAACTAAATAACCAACTGCTATGACATTTATTTATATGTGTGTGTATATATACACATGTGTGTGTGAAATGCACACACACATACACATACACACAGTTCTACTACAAGTGATTATCTCTTATAAGGGATAGGATCATGATGAACCCTACAGATAATTTTAATGGCAGTAGTAGTGTTCTGTGGGGGATTCTTAAATCTCCACTCAGTATTATGTTTCATCACTCACATTTACATGACATATATTAATTTTTAATTTTACATATATTAGTTTTATAAAAATGCTAATACACAGTAAAATATTTTAAACATAAATGGGCTGACTAAGGATATATGACAAATAAAAATCACCACATTCACAAACTGATCACAGAAATAGGTAACTTACTGGATTGATTTCAATGTCAGCAATCTCAACAGAGCCACCAATTCTAAGATCTATGACGTTTGCACGACGAATATCAACCTTATTTAGATTAAAACAAAATTTTGTAGAAACCACATTAAAATATAATTAGATATTACTGAAGTATTGCCTTGCATTTACATAACATTGTATAATTTAAATAAACAATAGTAACATAAATGTAAAATATTATCCTGACAGTTGTCACATTTCCTGTTTTGCAGAATTGATGCCCCTAAGAGTGAGTATTTGACCACAAATGGGATGATTTGATGGCTTGTGAATTCAAGAAGCAGAGTTCTACCTATTTGACTAAACTTCATTGCCACTCTCTATAGCAGAGAGTATTTTTATTTATATAATTTCAATGACTTATTCAAAATTAATAAATATCTTTCTCCTAGAAAGAGACTTTCAGCCTATGATGTGTGATATTCTATGGATCAGCTCTAATTCACCTGTCCATACTTTCTCTTTTATTCAACTTCTAAAGTTCATCATTTTAAACTCTCACTTAATAGTATATTTTGTCTGTTGACACATGTATCTTCATAGGGATGATAGAAAAACTCTCTTCCATTTCTAAGATGAACCCTTAGCCTTCAGACCAGTACATATGTATAGCTACTCTCTTTACTAGACCTCTCTATATGGAGATCCAAAAGGTGCCTCCAACACAGATGGACTTTCCTCTCAAAAATCTGATACTCATCCTCTGATTGTTTTCTCTCTGAATATTGCCATCATCTGGTTTACTCATGGAACCATCCCTCTCATTTATGTGACCTTCTTCTCACTCAGCAGTCCCCAAGTATTTATCTCCTCAATTTGACTAGAATTGTCTATAATCCTACTTCCTGAAAGAGAACACCATTTTCACTTGCCTGGACATGTTCACCAGACTAATAACTCTGCACGCAATCTTTTTGGTCCCAGTTTATTGCTCTATAACCAAAGTGATCTCAAAAATGCCAAATCTCTATGGTTAAAACTCTTCCTTCTTAAGATGAAGCCTGTATTTCCAAACATCGTTGATTAGGTCCTATATAATCTAAAACTTATATAGGTCTCCAAATACATTTTTCTCCACTGTTATCCATGCAGTTCATAATCTAGTCATGCTAATCTCTCTACCTCAAGCCTAAACACATGATGTTTTGGACTTCCTTAAATATTCTTTGCTCTTCTCCTCCATCCACTACCATCCTTTTAATCTGGCTTATTCTTTTTTTTTTTTTTTTGAGACAGAGCCTCAAGCTGTCCCCCTGGGTAGAGTGCCGTAGCATTACAGCTCACAGCAACCTCCAACTCCTGGGCTCAAGCGAGTCTCCTGCCTCCGCCTCCCAAGTAGCTAGGACCACAGGTGCCCGTCACAACGCCCGTCTATTTTTTTTTTTTTTGGTTGCAGCCGTCATTGTTGTTTGGCGGTCCGGGCTGGGGATTCGAACCCACCACCTTAGGTGTACGTGGCTGGCGCCTTAGCCAGTTGAGCTATAGGCGCGGAGCCAATCTGTCTTATTCTTAACTTTTAAATGTAACATCCCCTAGGAAGCTGGCCCTGACACTTTAAGCCTGGGTTATCCATGTCTCCTATGTATGCCTTTAGCCTGTACACGTCTTCATCACAGTACTTAACACTATATATTTAATTATTTATTGAGTTTGTATTTTCCACCAGATTGTAAACTCTTTGACCTCAAGGACCCCAATTATAATGTTCATCTTTGTATCATTAGCATGTGTAATGGAGATTTGTGCATAATATGAATGCTGAATGAATAAATCAATGAATCTCATTGTAGTACATGTTTAAGAGGTAATTTTTTTAAAAAGTCATAATCCTCTCAAATACAGTGAAAACTAGTAAAATCTATATTTTTGGTGGCCATTATTTTTATTTTTCCTAGAATATTGTGTTAAAATCTTTCACTCAAAAAATAAATAAAAATAAATATTCTGTTCAAGTCACAGATCATACATCACAATATATAATTTATAAACATCTTTCGGTGAATACTTATTTATATATCATTCTTAAGTTACTGGAGGATCAGGCAAATCAATGTTCATCATGTCATTATGATTATTATTTAATCATTGTTGTTATGATAAACGTAGGGATAACATGGGAGAAATATAACTATTCATTTTGATCTGATTACAGTATATATATTATTTTTTGATGTGAGTAAATAATTGATCATCAGATTGATGATCAAAATCCTTCCATTCTTTGAGATTTGTAATTAAAACTTTATGCAGATTGATCTTGCATATTTCATTTATTCTATTTAATGAGCATTTAAGAGAAACACCTAACATCAAGGTGATAATTTTTCATTTACATAATTCCTAAAGCATAAAAAAGTAAAACATTCTATGAGTGCTATAAAATATAGATATTAACGTCATATAGAATCTTCATACAATTTATATAGCTTTTAAAACTATTTGGAATTACTGCTACAAAATTGATTATTTTTTCCTAAGCTACCTCACTAATGCCGTGAAAAAAAAAAAAACCATTCTGGCTGCACATGGTGGCTCATGTCTGTAAATCAGACTGAAGCCATGGCACACTAGCCCAGGCAATAGAGTAAGATTCTGTCTCAAAACAAACCAAGAAAAGCTATCCTTTTCTCGCTAACTAGTTATGGTTTGTCAAAACTCAAATATTAATGCAAAGACATTTGATATCATGCAAATATCATTGCAATTTCATGTGAAAGTGCCTCATATTGATGGAAGATATCCATTTTAACTTAGTAGAATTTTCCATTACCAACTTTCACCAAAAATATTTCTTGCAAATTCCCTTCAAGTTCTGCTCTAAATTTTTCATTAGATGATATAGATGTTTGCTTATTTTTCTAAGATCTCCAAAAACTACACTTCTTTTAAATAAAGTCAATTTCTAGAAAAATAATAAAAATTTTGAAAATTGCTCTCCAGTGTAACTTTAAACTCCATTTATAATAGAAGAAATAATGAAAACACATTTTCTAAGAATAAATACGTGTACTACATTTTATAGAATTGTATCTACTATTGTAAGTGTTAATAGTTTAAACAACCAAACAAACTCACAGAGACTTAAATAAGAGGTAAAAACTCATAGGTATAGACATACCTTTGCTCTTGTATCAAATTTTTCTGGTACCATAGGTGTGCAGGAGATATTGAGAACAGTTATCCCTCCAAAAGGAATTATTCCTTGTGATGGTGTAATACTAATGTTAGGCAAAAGATTCTGGTCACAGACCTATAATTGAAAATTTGCAGAAATGTTACATTATCTTTTAAAGTGATGGTTTCTCTACTACCTAGAAAGTGAATCTTCAGGCACAGGACATGACATGATTTTCTAATAGTATTTGAAGATACTAGATGCAAAAATAGTTTGAACTACAAGAAACAGCAACCCTAACCTAGCAAATAGAATATTCAGTAGTGACACTTTTCCATTCAAATAGGATGATGAAGTTTATTGTCTGGAGTACTTTCCAGATTGCAAAATTTAAAAGGTATCTGTTAGAGAAGATAACAACATTTTAGATAGTAGTTTGACAGTCTGTCCTTCCCTCATTCTAAAAACTCAAAGCAAAGTTAGTGAGGAAGAAGGGTGATAATAATCTCTTCTTTATTATTTTCCTGATAGAAAGGTTATGTCTAAAATATGATTCTGATCTTCAAAAAAGTTATAACTTACTAAGGATTTATGGTATTTTTTTTCCCATAGGCTAAATCAGGCCTATTTATCATTCCTTAAACCATTATGATTTAAAGAGAAAATAGTCAAGAGAATTCTGGGAATGAGAGAACAAATAGACTATTTATGTAAGGACTAATTCTGACACAGAATAGTGGTAAAGGATGTCCTCTTGTGTATGTTAGCCAGAGAGTTGATTAGGGCAGAAGAGACACACAAATGTAAAGCTTGAGTGCAAGATCTCAAACACTAACTTCTGTCATCACTACTAGGGGCAGGGACAGGTGTCTTACTATATTTTCAGAAAAAACTATCATCACCTTGCCCCTCCCTCCATCTAAATCAAGAGAAATAACTATAAATAGACTTTTCCAGAATGGCCTTGATCTAGGTCCCAGGTGCTACTCTAAAAGTCCTGACTACACAGTGAAAATGAAGAGAAAATGGAAAGTGTGAAACTAAATACTGAAGGTAACATTATTAATGTATATTTAAAATTTTTTAAACATCTATTTTTTTTTCAATAAAACCAAATAACAGGATGACAAAAGAAGGGGAAGAGGAGAAGAAAGAGAAAGGCTAAATAAGGAAAGGAAGTGATAGAAAGAGTTCTGATGGGAAATTAAACTTTCTGTATTAGGTAAATCTCATATGAAATATCTAAAAATTAGTGTAAGTCAATTTATATTAGCTTCATGGTATTCATGGCACAAAAAATTGATTCAAATTATAATGTGATCTGATCCAATTAAGAAGTTGCCTAACATTCTAAGTTACCTGGAAATAAGCATGGTTTTGTCCTACATTGTGTAGAACAGCCTTCCTCCATGTTGTTAAACCTTGAGGAGAGTTAGAGAAGAGTATCCTGGGTTCCAAAAATGTCACCTTGGTGTGACCAAGCTAACAATGAGAGGAGAAAAGGAAAAAATGCAATTGAAATAATAGAAAATAAAATATTTCCATTGTTTTGCTCACAAAATGAAGCATTTTAGTTGTAAATACATAATAATCAAAGATGATTACTGAAAGAAAATGAAAAAATTATAATCATACTATATTCTTTATTCAGTATGTTTTAACATGTAAAATCAATCCCACATCAGGTTTTTACAATTTAGTATTCATGAAAAAGTACTCAAGGTACTATATTATTTTCCAAAAGTTAAATTAAATCTGTGATAATCCAGTTAGAATGAAGTAATAATATCACAGGAGATATTTTATTTAGAGATTTTAGCTGTAGTAATAATAATTAAATATTTATATAGTTAGAGTGTAAGCATTTAGATATTTTTGATAAAAAAACTAGATATTTTTAGATTAAAAACATCTTATGGCAGCAATAAATGATGATAATGGTGATAACAATATTATTGAGTGTCCCATATGAACCAGATATATGCTTAATTCTTTAGTCACATTTTCATTACAGTCTACTAGTCTAGAAAGTACCCAGAGTTAAACTATACTATGTCTACATTATTCACCTTTAAATACAAAGGGCCTGCATGAGGCCTAGTACAAAGTATGGATTCAAGAATAACTATTAAATGAATGGATTAATGGTACCATCACATTTTACAGCTGAAGAAACCAAAATTTAGGGAAATTAAGTATTCTAAGTCATTCAGTTATAAAATAACACTCACCAGCTCTGCTAAGTATATATAAATATATATTAACTAGGATATGTAATTTTTGATGTATCAATCTACCATGGGCTCTTTACAGCTAAACAAACTCCTTACTACAAACAAAGAAGTAAAGTCAATAGTCCTTATGTGGAAAGACAATAAGGTGAAAACAGCAGGTATAAAAAATATATTTTTCTACCCTATGATATAACTCAATTTTTTTCACCTTCATGGTGACATTAAGAACATAAACTGTTATCAGATTTTGTGGAATGCCTAAAAGAAAGGAAAATAGAATAGAATATTTAGAGTGTACTTTGTATAAAAGTAAAGATAGTAATGAACCTAGAATGGATAGGTAGTGACTAGAAGTGTGTACTGATGAGGGGGTTTCTTTTGCAGAGCTAGCGATGACCCTAGAAGGGATAGATAGTAAGTAGAAGTGTGTACTGGTGAGGGGGTTTCTTTTACAGAACTCTGTTTGGGGAACTGTTTGATCTGGACCAAATTACAAAACTATTAATCAGTTTTAACAGAATGACCCACAGTTTATAATATGTGCACATTTCTGTATGTATATTTTACTTTAATAAAAAGTTATTTAAAGAGTAATAAGTAATTTATACATAATGAAGAAGAGTAGAACCCAGCTTATTTTAAACTGGGAGTAGAGGAAAGACCCTACTCAGTTCTGACTGCCATTTGCCTTCAGTAAAGTGAATGAATCTTTAATCTCAAGGCTATCAGCTCCTTGACAGCTGAAACAAGTAGCAGTATCATCCAGTCCTGCAGACAGAGGTGAGATTTAGTAAAATAACATGGGCTTGTTTTAAATTTTTAAGAACATTGGGTAGGAAATTTGGTATACAAATAGAGTGCATTCTTAGTGATTGACAGCCATGACGTTAAGGCCTTCTGGGCTCTACCACAGAAAGAAAGTTAAAATTACATATTTCAGCTTTTACTTTACTTACATTCCTATTCCAAGAAGAATATTCTATTAAAAAAGGAACAAGTATTCTGTATTTCCTTGCTACATAAATTATGTGATCCATTTCATACTGAATTATTATTACTAGAATATTAACAATGCAGTAAACTATGGCAAAATATGATGCTCTCTACTTGTTTTTGGTGTTTAGTAACAAAATAATTTCAAGTGTCTTCCATATTGATATTACATATTTATAGTGGCTCTAACAATAAGCTAGTGTTATTGATACAAAAGTCTTGGGTCTCTGAGTTAATTCTAGATTTTACATATATAGGTAATTATACATACATATGTATACCCAACCAATCTATAGCTCTCAAAATAAAAACTACGTTCAAGGGAAATAATTACATGTGCAACACATTTTAGTGTCAATGTATTTCCTTCAAGGACATGAAGAATAAATTCTCCCTTCTCTGGAGCATTAAAACTTGGTTGCCATTTTACTTCACATTCCAGAGATGAATATGCTTCCACAGTCCCTACATAGGATGTAATGAGAAAAAAAGACATTTACCACATTTTTATTATACTATGCCTATTAATATCCAAAATAGGGGCTGACCTAAAAATGTAACTATATAACAAATTATTAACATAAACTCCAAAAATATAAAAATGCTTAGTTAGGAAATATCAAATGAGTATAGACCTACAGGATTTAATTAAAATCTAAAATGCATACATTATTTTTCAATTTAAACAGGCAAATAAAATATATGGCAAGACATGCGAAGGTTTAGAAAACTTATCAATGAAGCAAACACTCTAGGATTAAACATGGCTTTACATATAGACAGTAGAAAATCATTTGTGATTCCTAACCTAATTGTTTACTTCATGTATTCCTGACCTTCTGAAATACCTACTTGTTAACATCATACTTGTCAACATCACTAATCCGTTTTTAGAGGGAAGAATTACCATTACTACAACTTTTTGAAAAATATATACATTCCTAGAGCTGTAACTTCTGATGTAGCTAAAAATAATTAGTATATTTCTATAATTCAAATGTACTGAGAACCCACTTAGAATCATCATTTCCTTTAAAGTAAGGAAAATAACAATTGATAGAATAACTTAGAAGGTTTTCCTTCAGAAGGAGAAGAGTCCTTGAAATTCAAGGGCACAGAATACCAAACTGGGAGATGAGTGACCATCACAAACAAACTTTGCCTTGGGTGAGGTAGACTTTCATGTGATGGCAGTTTCCTTAATCTTAAACAAAAGATAACCTATTTCCTACTTTTGCAAAAACCATACTGGGAGATAACAAGACATGTAGAAGGACTGACATAGTATGTGATGCTGTGAAAGCACCCAGTATCAGATATTTTTAATATTCTTAAGTGCAAACACTATGTGAAGAACATCAATTTCTGGTTATGGAAGTCCAAACAGTCCAATGGGGGTCCATCAGGATTACATTATCCTATAAATCATGAAAAGTCCTTTGACAGTTTAGTAGATGGGGGGGTTATTTGTCTTATGCAGTCAGAAGCCTAAGGTTAGGTATTCCAAATCTTCCTTACCAGGTGGACAATTTCAAGAACCAATGAGCTCCTTCTATCTCCCTATGCTACTATTCTTCACTATGTGGCCTTCCTCTATAGACAGGCATCATGTATCACAGTGGTTAAAGAGATTCTAGGATCAGTCTCCTTGGTTCTAGCTAGCATTTACTAAGTGAGACCTTGGGCAATTTCCTTAATCAATCTGTAGATTGGTTTAATCATATGTAAAATGGGAATGGCAACTGTATTTCACTCAGAAAATCATTTTGGGAATTGAACAAACTAATATCTGTAAAAGTACTTGAAAAGTGCTAAACACATAGGAGGGGATGGAGCTATATCTCATTTATAAGAGAGGCTGGGAAAAAGAAATTTGAAAAGAGAACACTGTTGCCCCAAAGAAAATGGGGGTCCTATTATGAAAAGGAATGAAAATGAGATGTGGCTTTAGCAACATCTGCCACAGTAGTAAAAAGATATAAACAAATAATTGTGGATGACATGACAAACTCATAACAAGAGCAGAAAAGATGGGTAGAAGACTCATATTAGCCCAAGAAAGTAGAGGAAACTTAATTACATGGAGGTAGCATTTGAGTTATGATGTGAAGGATGAACAGGAACTCTGCAGAAAGACAAAGCCTAAGGAATATGTAAAAGAGGGTGGTATGGAGAAGATTACGATGGGCAGTAATTTTAGAGAAAGAATTAAGGCTACAAATAAAATCATCTGGATGCACTGAGAAGAGCTGAAAGCAGTAAAAGGATTATGCATCCATATCAACAGGGCAGCTTGAGGAGAATTCTTTCCCTCCTATCAACATGGTTATTTATTTTTCTTCAGGAATAGTATAACTATCAGGGGACAGGGGAAAGACATTGGACGGCTGTGAAGGAAACCAAAGATTTCTCCCCCGAATATAAGAATTTTTAACTAAAGAAACTGCAAACACAGAGAAGCACTATGCCTTAGTCTCTCTTTGCCTGACTGTGGGACATAAGTGCTTCCTACCAGGAGATAGCACTTGCTTAGCGCCCCAGAGAAGGCACTAGCAGGGACCAAGGAGTCTGGGAACAGATTTTTCTATCTTCCACTACTTTCTTGTCTTTTAAAAGACTAAAACCTTTTTCTTCATTATGTTGTCAGTATGACAATATTTATTGCTCTTTGTTAAAACGCTACTTAAGCAAGGCCCTTGAGCCACTGCAATTGAAATACTTTTTAAGTCAGGCCTCTGCCATGTGATGGGTATAGATGTACAAAAGACTTAATAAAATAAATAAATAAATAAATGTCTGCTGTTTTTTTCTCTTGTTAGTCTGATGTCTGTTTTCAGAAAAGTGCCTAAATTAAAAGTTATGAGGGCTAAGAAAGAAAATGACATTTTCTCCTCTTCAGACAAATGGAGCAAGGCTGGACCAAGAAAACTAAAAAATGTGAGTGAGAGTGAACTAATGGAGGACTCGCTCCAGGATTGAGGGTACAGACAACAAAGACCAAAACAAAATAAAACAAACAGAACAAGCATGAACAATCCCTACAGAAAAAGTCAAATCAGAAGTGAATTCCATCTCAGAAAATATCAATCCATGCTTGCATTCTCCTCTTACAGAATCTACTATCCAAATCCAAATCTGTTATGCCCCAGGGAGAAAGTATGAACGCAATATAAATTTTAATTCAAAATTAAGAAAGGCATATGATTGTGTGTATTATCCAGGATGCAAAATCAATGCAGCATTTTTAAAAACTTAGGAAAAAGTTGTTCTATTTATAAAAAGAGACAAAAGCAATACAAAATTGAGTAACTATTATATAAGGAAAAGAACATAAGCAAATTTATGTATGAAATACAAATTATAAAGACTTTCCTCAATGCTATATCAAATTAGATTTGGGTATTATGTCCTTCATATTGTTAAAATAGAAAAAGAACTTAAATACTTATGCCATTATTCTTACGAACATCTCATTTGGAATTAAATATCTTTGTGTTCTTGTGCCTTGGTGATTAGTTAAAAAAAGTGAGAGACATCATGAGAAACACTAAGAAAAAAAAATAAATGTCACAATCTCCCTAGTAATGATGAGAGTTCTGAAGACCACAAAAAGCATAACTGGTGCTCCAGTTAATAATAATTACACTTCTCTTTTACACAAATTACACCTACTTGGTACATTTCTATCCATTCCACCATTGTTAGGATGGAGAAATACAAGGAAAACTATTAGTGCATCATAATTTTTAGACACCCTTAGCACACTACCAGGTGGTTGATCAGAACCCATTGCTGGAATGCTGATAACATAACTATCACTGTGTAATATCTATTCAAACAAAGTAAACAAGGTTTAGTTAGAATCTCTGAAATGGACATTCTTATCTTGTCGTTCCTTTCCTCTCTATTCTCTCAACATTTCTCTAGACTGGCACAGGACTCAGTATTATCAGTATTGTAATTTAAAAATATTTTGGTCAAATGAATATGTAAAATATTGATGAAAGTTTGCTTAATAAGTCATTTGCTTAATAAGTTATGATCTAGGATGATGCTAAATCAATCCCAGTTAATAAAAAGATTAAACAGCCATATGAATCATCTCCAACCCTAATGAAGGGACTGTCCTACTCTTCACTTGCAAAGTTTGTCAACATTTCCACCTATACATCCACACTAAAATTAAGTGAATATTTTAATACCTAAGACATTTTCTTTTTCTTTTTTCTTTCTTTTTTTTTTTTTTTTTGAGAAGAAGATCTCTCCGCATTGGTCTCAAAATCCCAGGCTCAACTGATCTTCCTACTTCAGACTCTTGAATACTGGTGACTATAGCTATTCAATATTGCACCCAGCTTTAAGATTGATGTTAGAACACCCCCTGTACAACTTGTACAGTTATATAAAATCTTGATTTGGACATGACTAATTTTCACAGAAAATATATCTTGGGCAAGATTTCAACAAACCAAGACTCTTCTGTGATCTAAAGTATGGTCTATTTAGACTCTAAATAATGACTACTCCTAAATTAAAATTAAAGAGGGAGGAGGGAGAAAGAAAGTAGAGAAAGAAGAAGGTGAAAAGAGAAAAAGGAAGCCTGGAGCAAGGAACTGATAATGCGGATGGATAGCAATGTGTATGATAGGCTCTTACTATTCTGTGAATATTTGAGGGCTAAAAAGTCCAAAATAACTACAAATGTGTCATAATCAAAAAGCTATCCATTTATCTGGGACCTACACTTTGCCAGGCATTATAGAAGTTTCCTATACATTTAATCTTTACAAGATATAGTCTTCTCTACGTTTTACAGATTAGAACCTAGTGCTCACAGAGCACTTTGCTCAAGTTAAACTAGCTTGTGGGAAACTAAGACTACTTTTGAAGTCTGATCTGTGTGACTCCAAAGTTTGTTTTACTTTAAGATGCACTTCAGCCAGTTATAAAGCACTACCTGAATCACTGAAGATACAAAAATTCAGTCTTTCCATTTAGCTGGAAAAGCATGACATGTACATAAAACAAAGTTGCCATATAATCAATCTTTCAATGTCTAAGATGCTATTTTATTTCCTCAAATGATAGCTTGTGTCCTCATGAGTACTGATAGCATATCACAATGATGTTTGTTAAATTTGATAAGGCTACTTAATGAGTCAGAGTTTCGCAGTTACCAGATTTCATTTTATAACAAGTATATTATGTGGAATTATAGATCCCAAGGAATGGCAGAAGCAGGGTTAAGAGGATGTTAACATACCCAAGGTACTATCAAAATGGTAAATCTGAGATTGTTTCTATCAATTAAAAAACTTTCTTATTTAAATGACAGTTCTAGGCTTTTAATTTTATTAATTGAATTTTATTAGCTATATTAGATATTGACTATACATAATTTCTGGATCCTTCTAAAGAATTCATACTCAAAATATAAATCATTCTGAATGATACCTTATCATCACTATCAGACTTAAAGCTAAACAAAAATTACTTTATCCACCAATATCTGTAATGGTTGATTTTGTCGATGTGGCCAGGCTAAGGGGCTCAGTGACATCACTCTAGACATTGCTGTGAAGATATATTTTTAAATATAATTAACTTTTAAATCACTAGACTGTTTAAAGTGTTTAATTGATAAAGATTGTGATGATTTGATATATACATATGTTGTGTAATAATTATCATAAGCAAATTATTTAACATGCAGGTTGCCTTTCATAATGTGGGAGAACCTCCTTTAATAACTTGGAAGACTTAAGAGAAAAGACTGAGGTCCCCAGAGAAATAATGAATTCTGCCTCCAGAATGTCTTAGGACACAATACTGTACATCAATTCTTCCATGAGTCTTCAGGCTGCCCAGCTCCCCTACTAACTTTAGATTTGCCAGCCTACACAAGCACTTGAGCCAGACCCAGTTTTGTAAAGTTACTTCTCTCTCTCTCTTTCTCTTTCTATATTGTATACATATAGAATCTGTATTTCTGATCCTATTTATGTATATAAAATAAGTGTCCCTGATGACAGGATCTGATTTACTTCTATGCTGTTAGCACCAGTACACAATACATACTCAATATATAATTAATGCCTAAACACATTAATGCATGAATATATCAGTGTCTATATCAAATATTGATAGAATAAACCATTACCGTGAGCTGGACGAATGCAAAATGCAATTCCTCTTTCAGTATTTACCGGTTGCCACTCAAATTTGGCAGAACAATTCTGACGATTATACAATCTAATTGTCCCCTGAAAACATGTTTTCATCAGGAAACCTTGTGGTCTCAATATTAGTTGATCAGAAGATAGCTCAAGTTTTACTGGTCGGACAACAGCCATTACAAGTATGTGTCCACCAGGTACATTATTTACTGTGAAAGTGAAAGACCTGTAAAACAGCAAAAGCACCCAAATTGAGCTATTCACAAATTTAGCTATTTGTGAATATAGAATTCAGTTATGTGTAAAAATGAGTATAATATCGATTAATATCCATAATTCTTATCATACAATATTTCAAATTAATTATGAAAAGATGATTAGATTACCACTGAAATATGAATCTGCCTATCTACAAATTAATGTGCATATAATTTTAGTTTCAGGAACAAACATAATATATGAGATCTGACAATTACATTCTAGAACTTGCCACCTTGAACTTACATTGGCAGAACCGTACAAAAAGCTCAGTCAAGTTTCGTAATCTTGGTATATCAGCGTCTGGCAATTGTGTTCATGTTGGCATGTGGCAGTGTTTTGCTAAGTGGCAGTCATTTTTGTTGTTGTGCGTTTTTGTGTGCCATAACAAGATTGTTAGAGCTTGAATTAGATCAATAAACAAATATTTATAAATGTCTTATTAAAATTGCCAAAAGTGGAAGTGAAATCGGGGACATGTTAGTCCAAGTTTACACCATGAAGAAAACGGCAGTATACAAATACAAGTGTACAAATAGATTAAATGTCTTTCTGAGGGGACAGAAAGTGTCACTGATGAAGAGAAGTCAGAGTGGCCTGTAATGAGCAGAACTGATGAAAATGTTGCAAAAATTCAATGAACTGTGTGTCAAAATTGTTGGGTGACTATAAGAAGCATAGCAGACCAAGTAAACATCAATAGAGAAACAGATAAATCATAACTGAAAATCTTGGCATTGCACCAGCTCACACAGCACTGGGATTGAAATAACTGTAAACAAATACCTGTATTGGAACACCCTCCATACTCACTTGATCTGGCCCTCAGTGACTTTTTTCTTTACCAAAAGATAAAAGAAATATTGAAAAGAAGACATTTTAATGACACTGAGGACATAAAGGGTAGTATGAGGACAGCTCAGAAAAAAGAACTCCAAAATTGCTTTGAAAGGTGAACTAGTTGCTAGCATTGATGCCTAGCTTCCCAAGAAGAGTACTTCAAGTGACCTTAGCAAAATTCAGCAATGAGGTATGTAGCACTTTTTCCTAGGATGAGTTTGTGAACTTATTTGTCAGAACCCATACACCACAATTATTTAAGCAAATAAATACATATTCCACAAAAGTACACTTAAATTCTAGCAAACAGATATTAGAAAATAATTCCTACTTCCAAAATTTTCCAATGGTGGCAGATTCAAATATTATTGAAATATATGTACTGGATATCGGTGGAATAACATATGAGAATTGGTTGGTCTTTCGAAGTTCCTCTAAATCGGCATCTAAGTGGATCACTATGTGTATAGGTAGCATATTAACAATATGTAGTGGATGATCACTTGTCGAGTTGACACATATATTACCAAAGTTAAGGACAGAAGGTCCTGAAAAAATAAAAAGGGCTTTATTAAGTTTAATGTTGGCAAATGTGTTCATCTATTTTTTAAGTTTTTAAAATATATTTTGATCATTCTAGTTGTATAAAAATGACACAGAAAATATTTGCTATAAGATAGTAAATTATTAAGCTAGCATCATATCTAAATGATCATAATTTAAGGTGTGGAGATTATTAGCTAAAATTCCATATAAATATATTCTAATTACATGGGGAATAATATGACAAAATAATAAGCATTCATTACAATTCTTCTTCTTAACACATTAATTTGCAAAAATCTAATACCTTCTCTATCCCCACCAATACAATTATTCTGTTCATTTATACAAAATTTATAGAAATTGGTAATTTGCTCATGATTCATTGCTTAAGTTTTTCCTTGTAAATGCTGAAGGCTTTCTATTATGAAAATTTTTAATAATTATAAGTCTTGCCCTGCCTTTTGTAAAAGTTTGATATAGTTATAACTGGTATAGAATAAACTGAACATGAAGTATAGAATTGCATTAATGTTGGCATACGTGTGTGTATATGTACATACATACATAGATACCTGTGAGAATCACCACAATAATGAACATTAGTCACTCCAGAAAGTTTTCTTGGATTCCTTTATATTCCTTTCCTTCTACCATTCTCCATATAACCATTTCCCAGGCAACCACTCTCATCTGCTTTACATCTCTCTAGAACAGTTTGCATTTTGTAGTATTTTTTCATGAGTGGAATCATATAGTATGTACCATTTCACTCTGCTTTCTTTCACTCGATAAATTCCCCCAGAGATTTGTGCAAGTTGTTGTATCTGTCTGTAGTCTATTCTTTCACATTATTAAGTAGTATTCCATTGTATTTGTATATCACAACTATGTTCACCTATTCACTCATTGACATATGAATTGTTTCAAGTTATTGACTATTACAATTAAAACTACAATAAACATTTGTTGACAAATACTTATGTTTACTTTAACATAGGTATGCTTTCACTTCTCTTGGATAAATATCTAGGAGTGGTAGGTGTATGTTTAATGTATAGAAAATATCAGACTTTTTTAAAGTGACATGTGTAAATTTGTTAATATGTATGATTTCACGCTCCCAGTAGCAGTGTATAAAAGCTCCAGCTAGTTCACATCTTTAGCAATAATTTAAATGGTCAGATGCTGTTTTTGTTTGCATTTGTTTTAACCCCTCCATCTAATAAATTTATCGAAGTATCTCATTATGGTTTTATTTTGTGTTTCTCTAACAATTAAGGAGGATGTCTGGTTTTTCACATGCTTTTTTGCCATTTGTATATATTCTTTAATGAAATGTTTAAATCCTTTGCCCATTTTTTTTTCAAAATTGTTTTGCACTATGTAGGTTCTCTTAAGATTCCATATGAATTTTAATATAAATTTTTCTATTTCTGAAAAATGAAAAAAAATCCATTGGGTTTTGTTTGATAGGAATTGTGCTGAATCTATACGTTGTTTGGGATAATGTTAATATATGCGTCTTTTTTTTTTTTTTTTTTGAGACAAGCCTCAAGCTGTCCCCCTGGGTAGAGTGCCGTGGCATTACAGCTCACAGCAACCTCCAACTCCTGGGCTCAAGCGAGTCTCCTGTCTCTGCCTCCCAAGTAGCTGGGACCACAGGCGCCTGCCACAACGCCCGGCTATTTTTTGTTTGCAGCCGTCATTGTTGTTTTTGGCGGGTCCGTGCTGGGGATTCGAACCCGCCACCTTAGATGTACGTGGCTAGCGCCTTAGCCAGTTGAGCTATAGGCGCCGAGCCCTAATATATGCGTCTTAACAGTGTTAATTTTCCAGTCCACAAACATGAGATTGATTGTTTTTCATTTGTTTCCATCTTCTTTAATTTCATTCAGCAAAGTTTTATAGTTTTTAGTCTACAGGTCCTCAACTTCCTTGATTAGTAAAACTAAATGTTTTACTCTTCTTGATGTTACTGTAAATGGAATTTTTATTCCTGGCCTGCATGTTCCTTTCTCTCCACATCCACTCCAGCATCTGCACATTTGGAATTTTGTGATGTGGGCTATTCTCACTGGAGTTAGGTGATATCTCAGAGTGGTTTTGATTTGCATTTCTCTGATAATCAGGGATGATAAGCATTTTTTCAGAGTGGTTTTGATTTGCATTTCTCTGATAATTAGAGACAATGAGCATTTTTTCATGTCTTCTTCAGAGAAGTTTCTGTTCAAGTCTCTTGCCCAATTCTAAATGGGGTTATATGCTATAAAATCTGACAAAGGACTGATGACTAGAATCCACAGAGAACTCAGATTGATCAACATGGTCAATTCATTTTAACAAAAATGCCAAGGCAATGGCATTGAAGATAGTATTTACATAATGTTGGGATAATTGGATGTCCACATACAAAATATAAATATAGACCTTAATTTCAAACCATAAGTGAAAAATTAATTTAAAACAAACTGTATACCTAAATGTAATATCTAAAATTATAAAAAATTAGATAAAAAATAGGAGAAATTATTTATTGGGAATGATACCAAAAGCATGATCTAGAAAAAAAATTGATAAATTCAATTTCATCTAAATTTAATAGTGTTATGCTTTAAGTAATATCATTAAGAAAATTAAAACAAAATCAAACCACAGACTTAGAGAAAATGTCTGAAAATCATATATCTGAAAAAGGACTTGTATTCAAAATATAAAAGCAAATTCTTACAACTGTAAAGGAAAGCAAATATTCAAAGTAAAACTTGGGCAAAAAAAAATTGCAAGACATTTCTCCAAATAAAATAAATGACTTAAATAGACAGTTCTCTAAATAAGGACATGAAAATATACTCAAAATTTTAATCATTTAGGGAAATGCAAATCAAATCTACAGGGAGGTAACATTTCACACCCATAGGTTGGCTATAATCAAAAAGACAGAAAATAATAGTGTTGGGGCAAATGTTGAAAAAATTGTAACCTTCATACATTGCTGGTAGTATTGTAATTTGGTACAGTTACCTTGGAAAACATTATGGAAATTTCTTACCATTTCATTCCTAGAAATCTAACCTGAAGAAATGAAAACATATGTTCACTTAGAGAATTTTAAGTGAATGTTCATAACAGCATTATTAATAATAGCCTCAAACTGTAAACAACTCCATGTCCTTCCACTAAGGAATCAATAAACAAAATATGGTGCCCCATAAAATGAGATGCTGTTTAGATATAAAAACAAACTATTGATACATTATATCACATGGCTAAATTTCAAAGACATTATGCTAAGTGAAAAAAGCAATATATAAGAGACCACATATGATTCATTTAAATGAGCTGTTCAGACGAGGCATATCAATAATGATAGAAAGTTGATTAAAAGTGCCTGGCTCAGGGGGCAGAAACATGGAGTAACTGCCTACAGACATGAGGGTGATGGCAGCATTATAAAACTGAATTGTGATGGTTGCTGCATAACTCTCAATTTACAAAAATTAATTCTCACAACTATACTTAATAAATATAACTACTCAGGACTTGTTAATTTCCAAATGTGATACTATATATTTTAAACTAGTGAATTTCATAGAATATAAATTATCCTTTGAGGAATATATTTTAAAAGAACATACTGCAGTAGTTTTTTTTTTTTTTAAGACTAGTCAAGTGTAGTATGTAGTAGGGTTTTGTGTGTTCTTACCAACAATGACTTGATGAATTTGTTTCGGTGACAAAATGGTGCTACAATGATCTTTTTCTTCAGGTGTTGATGGTTCAGATTTAAGTTCTTTGTGAACCTATTAAAAAAGTCACATTTTTCCAAAATTAATAAGTCAATATTATAAAATGCTGTCTTAAAAATTATCATAACATAACCAAATATAAAATATTGCACATACCCTTCTTCTCAAGGACTGTTTTTCTTTGGATGTTATATGACTAGTACTAAGCAATTCATCAGCTGGGGTCAGACCGTCTGGCGAAGATAGATCCTCTTCTATATCAGTTTCAGAAGGGGAGGGTGACTTTAACCCTGATGCTGGCTGTAAACCTATGTCTGTATCATTATATGGATACATGCTCTCCCTATTAAAATAATAATAATAATATGTAATATAGTCTAAGTCATTCAGAAAATATCCTGTAAATCCAAATATTCCCCATAGTGCATGCTGCTGCCAACTCTCTCATGTTCACTTACCTGGAATGGTACATGAATGTGCAGAAAATTGGCCTCTGCTGATGGTTCCCCTTTCTAAAGCATCTCACCAAAGGAAATTATGCCCATCCCTGCCACATTCAGGGACAGCCCATAGTCAATGAGTGATAACAGAGCACAAAAGACAAGCCCCTTTCTTTGGCTCAAGGGAACAACATCTATGTGGTATAAATTTAAGCTCAAAAGACCCTTGACATTAGGCTCAGTATAAACTTTATTTGAAACAGATCCTTCCTTGACTCTCTTCCCTGCCCTATTCTGCTTTCCTTATCCTCTACAGGTTTCTCCTGAGAGCACACTCTGCATAAATCACAGGTACTGGAATCCTTATCTCTGGATCTGCTTCTTGGGAAGCCCATCCAAGACATCTTCAAATCAAAAAGTAGCAAAAGAAATAATTGTAGTCAAAGTAGCTCAATGTTTTACTTTAATCACATACTAAAATATCATTTAAAGCACTAAAAATAAACAAAGAAACTAAGGAGTAAAGAAAAAAATTCTGTCTCTGTAGTCACCATGATCTGTTGTATAATTGTTAAGAAACTGAGCTTTACCTTTCTTTTTCTTGTTTGAGGCGCACACTTCTTAAATGTTTAATATACATTGTATAGTAGTTGTCATGTATTTCATTTCTCATTTTTTCAAGTTCATTATATGCATAATCAGGATCCACATAGTTATATCGTGGAGTTTTGGTGAAAATTGTCCTACAACAAAATCAAATCATGTTAATATTTAAATACATGCATTTATTCAATCATTACTTATTGAGGACCTCCTAGCCAATATCTACAACAGATGCTGGGCATAGAATAGTGATAGGATTGATTCTAGCCCTTTATTTCATATGTAAAACTAGAGTGAGATCTATTTTTTTTTTCTTATTCTAATAAGAAGCATATTGCTTCTTCTTAAGGTCACTGGAATGTAAGGGCACCTCTCTTAAACCCATCCTTGGGGAATTAGAGAGACAACTTGACCAGTTATAGATTACAAATGGGACTTCAGAAAAGTAGATCTGAATGTGATCACTGCTTCATGAAATTTAATTACTTTTAGATCATTATGATCAAAATAAGAAAAAAATATAGAATGAATTATTTTTAGACATCCTACTTCCTTATAACCTCAGAACTTATAAAATAATCAGAAATAATAAATCTATACAGTGTAAATAATCCATAAAACTGCCAATTACTTTATATCTCATAGTCACTCAATTAGCTTTATACTCTTCCTTTTTACTCACAATATATACAATATTCAACGAAAAACAGAAAGTGCAATTGTTCACACTTCTAGACTTGGTCTACCTCAATCTTTAGCAGATTTTATTAATCACTAAGATTCTAACCCTCGATCAGCACATAAGTATAAACCTATCATCATATAGTGAGATGAAAATTAATCTAATTTTTCTCCTTATATTCAACTATTCTTCAACATTTAAAGTTACGACAGCTTTAACTGAGTTGAAGTCTTTAGGAGAGACAATAAGAGGGAAAAATACCTTGCTATTCAAATAGTTGTTGATATTTAAATTTCCCTTCAGGCTCAGAGGCACTTACCCACAGTGTGTTTAGAACCAAGAAGTAATTCCTTTATCTCCACAATCCTAGCTACTTGGGAGGCTGAGGCAGAAGGATTGCTCAACCTCCGGAGTTTGAGGTTCCTATGAACTGAGCTGAGGCCACGGCACCCTACCCAGGGTGACAGAGTGAGACATTGTCTCAAAAAAATAAAAGAAAGAATTTCTATATCTAAAGTCCTGAGGTGTCTAACATGGAAAAAGAGAAAGACATGGAAAGAAGTCATGGAGTAAATGCCTAAAGAGACAAAGAGCTAGTAACATATCTAAATCCTTAACAGCAACTTAAAGAATAAACATCTAGGAAAACCTTTGCAGATTGGAGTAGGTGATTTTCTTTAATGTGCAAAGTATATGTGGGGCAAAAATTACTGTGGAAAAACATTTTTCCTCATTTATTTATTCAAAACTAATTACTGAATTTCTATTACATTCCAGATACTGTTCTAAGCACAGAACATATTGCAGTAAATAAAACTAGACAAAAATTCTTACCTTGTTTTCTTCTCAAAAACTGGAAAGGTATAATGCATTATAAATAAGATAACAACTACAATTAACAACACTATAAAATTTACTTTATTACTTAAAGTTATTGTTAATCAGAAAATAATAGAACTAAATTTTGTCTTACTAGTAATAGGAGAAAGAGTTCATGGGATGAATAGGAAATGTTTAGCCTTATTCAAACAAATTCAGTCATTTTTAGACCATCTAACAGGCTTTGATAGAAACAAATTGTTAATATTAAATTAACACATTATACCTCAACAGATATATTTGTATGAGCTTATGAAAGCGTTGAAAAGGATACATAAATAATTATTTCCAGAGGCCACCTCTGTAGGGAGTAATGGGATACAATGAGCCACAGGGAAAGATATTCTTTCCATTTTTATAATGTGCAAACATTTTGAATGGAATCTGAGTGATTTTCATGTTTCCCTGTTTTATGCTACTTTTCAAATTTTAAACAAGGAAGGCTTATACAAGTTGATTGAATTTATAAAATAGAATAAGTTGGACTATAGACAAACTTAGAATTTTCCTATTCTAGAGAATAAAACAATTGCATGCTACAAACCAAATGGCATTATAAGAAAATGGCTACAAAATTAAGTGAGTGAGGGTGGTGAGTTCAAACCTGGCCCCCGCTAAACTGCACAAAAAAATAGCTCAGCATTGTGGCAGGCACCTGTAGTCCCAGCTATTCAGGAGGCTGAGGCTAGAGAATCACCTAAGCCCAAGAGCTAGAGGTTGCTGTGAGCTGTCACGCTACAGTACTCTACCAAGTGCCACATAGTGAGACTCTGTCTCTATAAAAAAAAAAAATTAAGTGAGCTTAATGACTCACCAAAGCTAAAGAGACAGGTGCAGAAAGCATGGGACCATTATCAAGTTTAGATAGTCTACTTATAGCATACAAGCAGACAGGAAATATATGCATTTCAGACTTAAAGGTATAAAAAACATTCCTGGGCTTAGGGCCCAGATTAACATCATGATCATTCACGTCTTGATAACCATTGATAAGGCAAGAATTTATGTCAGGATTTGATAACCCCTTATGAAATTCAATATCCCTTATGATCTTCATTGGGGAAGTTTTAGTGTAGTTTGGGACAGATTATTGGAAAAGTTCCCACAAGGGAAGCAAACACAGATCATGAGCGTGATCATGATCACAATAATGATGATGACAATTATGAGTGGTTTTTCATAATTTTATATTTTTACATAGAAATATTCAAGTTTTCAATCATACTTTATCAACATGACTACTCTGAGTGCTTGTTATGTTTCCAAAGGCAAATATTTCTACCATTCTTCTATATTTGTCAGCAGCATATTTTAAGAAGCATTTTTCATACTTTTCACTTCTTGGCAATTACACTTTAGAGATGATGAGAAGATAGAAAAAGCAAATACAGTAAGCGGCATTCAACAACCATCTCATCCAGTAAAATAAAAAAATGGAAATTTTATACAGCAGAATCTCATCAGACCACTGTATAGGTTGGTGATTATGTCTTTCAAACTTTCAAGTTTTTAATTTTGCATGTTACCTGAAATGTTTACGATGGTCTCCGGGCCGAATACTTCCACTACGGTCATTGGGTAAGGCTATCAGCTCATCTTTTCTTGACCATTGATTTGACTGATGAGTATGAAGGGATGTCTTATTTGATTGAAGCATAGCTATAGGTGCAGATTCTTTGTATGTATCCAAGTCTTTTATTACAAACTGTCCTGTACCTTTAATAGAATTGAATATTAAGTTTATATATGGTGTTTTGAATTTTAGCTTTCCAAGCAATATCCATGAACTAATTTTTACACTAAATAATTGATTCTAACTTAAATGTTGAACCTTTAAACAAAAATAAGCTAATACACAAAAAATGTATTTAATACATAGGCCTACACAAAACAATTTAGCAAAATAATGCATGCACAAATAATAACAATGCATACATAATAAAACATGTTAACTTGAAGAATGGTTACGCATGTGATTAATTTTTTAGAAGTTAAAGACAGTTGGATGTTGGCAATTTCATATTGTTAAACATATACAAGATAATGGGGGATTAGATAAAACATCAGCAACAAGAAAATTCATGGAGTGGTCAAACCAGTATATATTGTAGACTCAAATAAGTAAAAAGAATAAAATATAAAAACCATTACAAAATATTCAACAAATTTGTATAAATGCTATTCAAAGTGTGATCCTCAGAATGGCAGACCTGCTTAATTATTAGCGCTGAGATGTAGGCCAGTAATATGTTTTAACAGGACTTCTAGGTGATTCTGATGCATTTTAAAAGATGAGTATCACTGGATTAGACCACATTTGCTATATCCAGCTAAGCAATGAGTACATTAAGATAATTCTACATCAACATCAATATCAAAACCAAGTGAGCATCACACAATAGCATACCTGGAGTAATTTTCATCCTATCATTTTTTATAGATGGTTTGCAGATGCTGTTGAACTCTAAGTATACATGATAAAAAGGTTTCATCAATGCAGATTGCCTGTTTTCATCTGCCACAAGCCCAAGAAGCTCTATTACTTGTTTCACTTTAAAGACTCCAATTTGATGTGGAATAAATGAGCACAACACATTCTAAAATAAGAATAGGAAAAGTAAACAATATTATATTATTAGGGGAAACAAATGAAAGGACATCTGAAACATACAGCATCAACAGACTTTATAATACTCATTATGGAAAATTAATTAAGAAAATAGAACTAAATTACTTTCAGAATGGCAGACTAAGGACCTCCAAAAATCTACTTCTCCACAAAAAGAAAGAGAACACTGGCTGCAAATTGTCAAAAACAACTTTCTTAGATATCTGAAAATTGCCTAAAGGCTAACAAAAATCCAAGAAGTGGTTATCTAAAGGAAAATGTCTGAAACTCTGAAAGAAGAGAAGACTTTTTGGCACTTTTATTTGCCTATAAATCCATTTTCCTAAATCTACCCTTGTGCTTGTTCACCCTGAAAAACAATAGTCTTGCCACTGTGCTAGCTGTGCAAACCATTAGCCTAACAGCCAGTGGAGGGAGAAAAAATGGGTTTGAAGTTTACCAAGAACCTCATCCGCAGGGAATTGTACCTATTTGTTCTGTCTGGCATCTAGCTGAAAAACCTATTATGAGAGCATGTCTTTACTTGGTATGATTCAGAGTTTACATGTGTGAACAATCTTCTTAGTGTTTTATACACACACACACATACACACAGACTCACACATATATAAGCAATAATTGTTAAGCATCACAGTAAGCTAAGTGTATAAAATGATAGCTTGATAAGTGTATAATTTTGGAATTATTAAATCAAGCTAAATAACATATCCAGATGTTTGTGTGGGAAAATAATTTATTATCTGCCTTCTTAGCAATTTTCAATTATATATTATTATTAACTATAGTCACCATGCTGCACACCAATAGATCTCCAGAATTTATTCATCTTAAATGAAACTTTGTACTTTTTGACATCTCCCCATTCATCACTCCTTGCCCAGGCCACCACAATTCTACTCTCTGCTTCCAATGAGTTCAACTTTGTTAGTCTACATATATGTGAGGTCATGCAGCTTTTGCCTTTCTGTACATTACTTATTTCACTTAGCATAACATCCTCCAATTTTATCCATGTTATTGCAAATGATAGAATTTCCTTCTTATTTTAAGGATGAATTGTGTGTGTGCGTGTGTGTGTGTATACAAAGTTAGACAATTAAGTTTGCGAACTTATCCTAGAAAAAGAGTACTACATGGCTCATGCTGAATGAGCTAAGGTCACCTTTCAGGTACTCTCCTTGGGAAGCTATGCACCAATGCCAGCACCTAGTCCACCTTCCAAAGCAATTTGGGAACTCTTTCTGGAATGGCCATCAGAGCTCTTGTCATATGAAGGTCTGACAATTCAGTTTGCAAACTCATCCTAGAAAAAGTGCTACATACCTTCTTGCTGAATATCACTAAGGTCACCAGAGGGCCAAGGGGAGTACTTTGAAGGTGTTTGAAGTTGTAGTAATATGTTAGCACTTTTTCTAGGAAGAGTTTGCAAACTTAATTGTCCAAACTCATATATATCACATATTCTTTAGCTAAAAGAAATGAAGTTGGTTAACAGAGTGAGAAAACAACACAACCTGTATATCATCCAGAATATGCACACGTTATATACAAAGATACAAGTAGGTTGAAAGTAACAGAATGACAAAAAGATATGTCATGTAAACAATACTGAAAAGAAAGCTGAGTTGCCTACACAATTATAAGACAAAAATAGATATCAATACAAAAACTGCTAAAATGAACAAAGGACATTGCACAAAGATACAATAAGGAAGAATCAGGAATGCATAATAATTATAACCACAGAAGTACCTAATGACAGAGTCCCCAAGACATGAAAAAAGTGGCAGAGGTGAAGAGAAAAATACAGAGTTAAACTATAATAGTTGAATGCTTTGATATTCCACTGTAAGTAATAATTAAGAAAACTAGGCATATGCTTAACGAGGAAATAGAAACTTGGAAAACATTATAGGCCATTTAGAGCAAAAATGTTCCACTACCAACTTTACATCAATACAATTGCTATGATGAACAATTGTATACAAACAAATTAGGTAATCTAAATGAAATGGGCTAATTCTTAGAAAGATACAAACTACTGAAACTGACCCAAGAAGAAATAGAAAATCTGAATAACCATTAAACAAGCAAAGAGATTGAATTAGTAGTCAAAAACTTTCTGGTAATGAAAGTCCCAGAACCTAATGGCTTTGATGTTGAATTCTATAAACTATTTAAAGAAGAATTAGTGCCTATACTCCACAATATCACATTATTTTAAGAGACACAGCAAAAGTAGTCAACAAAATATGACATACTTCCATAATAAAAGCATGTGACAAATTAGGGATAAAAGGGAGATTCTTCAAGTTCATAAAGATAATCTATGAGAAAGCAACAGTTAACATCATACTTAATGAAAATCTAAAGCTCAGATCACATTTACTGATAAAAGATAAATCCTTCCCCATTAGATCAGGAATAAGATATCCTTTTTTGCCACTTCACTTTGAGATTGTACTAAAAGGAAATTAGGTAAGAAAATAAGTAAATAAAATAAAATTGCTATGGAAAGAAAGATATAAAATGACCACTATTCACAGATGACATGATCTGTATTCTAAAGAATCCACCAAAAAACTACCAGAACTCATAAACGAGTTTAGCAAGTTTGTAGGATTCAAATCAAGGTCACTATATAAAAACCCAATGCATTTATATATGCTACCAATGAATAAGCCAAAAGAAAATTACAAATGAAATAATTGAGTTGGTAGCTATAAGAGACTTGGACAAAAGGAAATTTAGGTAACAGTTACAAAGAGTACTTTTAGCATATGTGGTTAACATTCGTTGTTTTTCTATGAAAACTTATTAATTCTATTCAAATTCGAAGGTGGGGGAGTAATCGTAATGAAGAGGTAAACAGTATAAGTAGGAGCTTTATGTGTACAAGAGTTCTTGATTGCAACTAGGAGAAAGCTCATCAATAACTTTAGGAACCACATTGCCACAGTGGAAAAAAGATAACATAAGAAACTGAGGAGAAAGTGAAAACACGTATGTTAGCTGTGTTTAGAACAAGTTTTGATAAATTATTTCTGTAAATACCCAGACAGAAAATATTTTAGGTTTCATGGGGCATACAGTCTTCCCAAAACTACTCAACTACATCTTTGCAGCATAAAAATATCCTTGAACAATAGAACAACAAATAAGAGTGGCTATTTTCCAATAACACTACTTACCAAGACAGGTATCAGGCTGGATTTGGCCTGTAGACAATATTCTTCCAACCCATGGTTTAGAGGATGTGGGAAAGAGTTATCTGTGTAGCAATCAAAAAACAAAACAAAACAAAAAACCCCACTCTTCTCATCCACAAACTGAACTAGTCCTTAAAGGTATGCCTTGGTGTTCTCTTTTTCTGCTTTGCAGCAACTGTGTAAGTTCTAGGTCACAAATATCACTAGTTCCAAATTTCAAAATTCTACTCAACCTTCAAGGTCAGGCTCATATGTTACTTTCCTATGGATATCTCTCTACTTGGCTTGAAGTAAACACTCTGTTCTCTGAGTTAGTTTCTATAGCCTTGTTATAGTTCTCTTTTCATTTTATTTTTGCATTCTTCTTAAGCCATATCTGTTTATATATATGACTTATACTTCTATATCACATTAAGAATATCTCAGAGGCAGTAATTATGTCTTTCTCTTCTATAAATTCCCTATAGTGTCAAATGCCTTCCCCAGCATGGGACAGGCACTTGACAAATAATTGTGAATTCTACATGAGACTTATATAAAAGTACAAATAATTAGGAACAGAAGAAACATAATTATTAAATATTCATAGAAAAAAATGTTGTTTGTATTCTTCTGACTAGCATTTTTGCAGACCTGAAAATGTTTGGTGCAATGTGAAAGCAAAGAAAAATTATCTTACCTGAATACATCCTTCATCAATTTTTCCTTTTTCAGGATCAATTTTAAAATGCGCAGACTTTTTGAAATTGTATGTCACAGGAAGAGATTTAGACTGATTTTTTATGATACAAGCAAGCTCCGAGTGTTCTCCCACAACACAAGGTGAAAAATTAAGGATCTTTCCTGGTTCAAATTGTAATAATACAGGAATTCCTGAGCCTGTCAATGCTAATTCCACTTTTTTGAATCGATCACCTGTAAAAGCAACAATAGCTGTTGAATATAAAAATTGTTTGGAGAATCCAGAATATATGTCCTTATTAGTTCAAATAGTATGTGGCATAATCTGAAAGACTTTATGAAAAATAGGTAGCTCATTCAATCTTTTCATTTAACAAAATTATTGAGTACCTTGTCTGTGATAGATACTCTAATAGGACTTGGGAATACAGCAGTGCATAAAAGATACCAGGTTCCTGCTGTCATGGACTTTATATTCTAGTGAAGCGACACTGACAATAAATAACCAATAATACTATATATTTCTATAGCATTTCATAGAGGATAAATACTAAGCATAAAGGTAGAACAAGATATAAGGGATCCATTTTATCTACAGATGTCCAAAAAATCTCCTTTGATAGGAAGACAGCTGAGCAAAGAGAAAAGAGATCCTGGAAGAAAATCACATGAAAAATCTAGGAACAGTATATTTCATGCAGAGAGAACAGCTAATATACTGTAAGATAGGAATTTTGTCTGACATGTTCAACATCCTAAGGAACCAAATATGGCTGGAGAGGAGTAATAGAAGAATCATGAGAAGTGGTAGTATTTCAGATACATTTTTATCTTTTTTTATTAAATCATAGCTGTGTATATTAATGCAATTATGGGGTACAATGTGCTGGTTTTATATATAATTTGAAATACTTTCATGAAACTGGGTAACATAGCCTTCACTTCATTTTCTTAGTTATTGTGTTAAGACATTTATATTCTACACTTAGTATATTTAACATGTACCCTTACAAAATGCACCATAGGTGTGGTCCCACCAATTACCCTCCCTTCACCCATCCTGTCCCCTCCCCTCCCCCTCCTCTTTTCCCTTCATCTTGGGCTATAGTTGGCTTATAGCTTTCATATGGAAGTGTGGGTGTTTATAAATTGGTTTCACAGTTGGGCTGAGTACATTGGATACTTTTTCTTCCATTCTTGAGATACTTTGCTAAGAAGACTATGTTCCAGCTCCATCCATGTAAACATAAAAGAGGTAAAGTGTCCATCTTTCAGATACATTTTTAAATAATGGTAATAAGATTTGCTGATAGATTAGAGGCAGGACAGGAAAGAGAACAGATGACAAAGGCTGACTTTAAGTTTTGGGCCTGAGCAACTGAAATGATGGGATTGCCATTTCTTGAAACAAGAAAGACTGGGGCAAGAAGCAAGTCATGAGGAAATGACAAGTTCTGTTTGGGGCATGTTAAGTTGAGCTATTTCTACTAGTAGATATTCTAGTACACACACAGTGTGTTAACAAGCTGAGAGTGAAGACAAAAGAGGAAGGATTTGGGGATTAAGAGAATAGAAGGTGTATGATAGTTATCTCAAATTGTGAGAAAGTGAATGGATGAGGGAATGCAATAGGAATGTCAAACATCTTAAAGAACCCATTTGGGCTTAGTGATTATAGATACAATGTGAAACATCTCAGCAAGGTTTTGTGGTTTTCTTCAGCACAATAGGCTTCCCACATTCAGACCCATTATGATTAGCTAAAAGTTTAATTAATTAAATTAGAAGTTTTTCCACTCAGTAACTATGGAACATGGGCCAAGAGATTTAAGAATGATTAGAATAATGTACAGTGGAATGTAAGCTGAATGTATGTATAAGCTGAATATAAGCAAGGATGCAGACAAGAAGTTTTTGCCACTAGAAAGAGGATAGAAACTATGGATTATAGGCTCTAATTGGGTGAAATAAGAGTTTTACAGAGAAAACAGTGTAACTAGAACTCAAAAAAACTTTATATATTGTCACTGATACTCCTAAAGGTCATTTATTAGATCTAGCACTGCTATATGTTGCTATTCAAAACCGGATTCACCTGCAAACTTTGTACAAATGTTCTAAGATCAGCAGCCAAATTTTTTATCACAAACCATGACATAAATAGTAACAGAGCAATTAATTTCTGCTCTAGAAACACAGTTAAATCTTGCTCAATATCAGTATGCTGAAATACAAATCTTCTAGACTCTTGACTTGCCTAAGCATCCAGGATGGCCCTACCCTTCCTTTGCACGGCTCATTTTCCTAAATTTGATGCCTAATCTGCCCAATATTTATTTTTTCTTTGATCTGTTTTGGTAAACTGACCTCCAATCCCCATGCCATTTTTTTCCCCTGCCGGCAACCAACCCATTGTTACCTGAGAATGTAAAAAATATAGTGTATCTTGACATGTGGTCTGCAAAACATATGTACTTCTAGGTCTCCTATAACAGGGTGCTATACCCTACTTACTAGCCCTCTTGATTTTTGCTCTTTGATTGTTTCCATACATGGATTCTAAGAGAGTTGAATATCTGGTAGAAATGGAATGGGTCATTTGTCCCCATACCAGTCCCTAAGAGAAAACCCAGATATACATAAAAAAAGAAACCTGGATTTATTTTCATTCCTTAAATTCAGATCATCATGTTTATCTAATGCCTTTTGAGATTGCAAAGTCACCTAAATTCTAACCTAGAAAATTATTATGGAAATGGTTCTCAGGTTGATTTATTTCTTAACATGCCAGAGATGACACTTTAAGGTCTGTTGAACGTGTTTGTATTTTTGTTCTATTCAATAATTATACCTTTTATTAAATTCCCTCTATAAATATTGATGTTTAAACTTCTAAACAATTTAAACAGCTATACATTTGATTACTCTGTTAATTTCGCTTACTTTTGGTAGTTTTATAATTATCGTCCGTGGAAAATCTGTCTTTACTCCCAACAGTTTCAAATCTCAAAAAGACGGCATAATCTTGCCTATGAGAAGGATCGATTTTCTTTTTAACATCAGCTATCAGCCTGCAAAAAATCAGTTACTTTTATAGCAAAGGTGACATAATTTATCATGTCTCAAAAGGGAGTATCAACCCAATCTTTAAATCTATGCAATAAATGAAAGAGTAAAAATACAGCTGTGATCCATTTTCCAAAATTACTGCACAGCTAGAGAGAATTGCCAAAAAATGGCCACAGAGTATAAAGCTTCAGAAAAATGAGCTTCTGCCAATGTTTGCAAGGGAAGAGTAATTAAAATATACTAAGTAGTCAAGGTATAGTTCATATACCACTTTCTCTGTAAAGAATTTCCTTTCTAGGCCAACTTCATCTCTAACCTCTCATTAATCCTCTACAATTGTCCATCCTTACTCCTTGGCATAATTGAAACCCACTGTTATATATCTGTCTCCCCCCCCCAGGGTACTAAGTGCATATTGCCAGTCACATTTTTGTTAGTGGATAACAATTTGAAGAAAAAGATTTTGTAACAGTTAAATCTTATTAGAAGAGAAAAGGAAGGAAAGGGTGGAAAGAAGGGGAGTAGAACCAAAAACAGAGATGGGTTACATCCTAGTCCTGCACATCAGCTATCTTTGCCTTCCTTACCTATAAGTCAGCTCTTCTAGCAGTGGATACCCAGATACATTCACAAAAGGCTGATGTGTAATATTAAGTATGAATACAAATAGTGTATTCAGAATATGCTTAACTAAGACTTCAAATCATACTTGTACATATAAGTCTATGCTAGACTCTCAAAATAAGTTAAGATGTTACCATAAAAGAAGAGTATTCAAAATTTCAAAGATTATGCATTAAACAGAATCTTATAGATTTACCAAAGAAACTTCCTGTATCAAGTTATTATTAATAAGGCAATTTTAGATAGACAAATAGAATAATTACTTGATTTATTAATCTGCTTAAATTAAAACAATCTTCAATAGGCAACTGATGCTACCAATTGACCCTATTCCACACAAAAGTAGTAAATTAAACATTACCCTCTTACAAACTAGGGTAAACATACTTGCAATTGGATCAGTTATTCACACACACTGCAACCTACCAAAATGTTGCTGAACTTGCCAGCATATATTTAAAACAGCATTTCCAAAAATATTTTCAAACTAAATAATCAAACCAAGAAGATGGAGGTATAAAAAAATATACATTGGCTTAAATGCCATAAGTCTGTATGAATTTCAGCAAAGAAGTATGGTTGATCCCAACAGGTGGGTGCTATGATACTCAGTCAGCAAGGATTTTTGCCCTGTCAGGAGTGCTGCAACCTCTTTGGAGGCATTTAAAACATGCTGCATGTACCTGACTACTCCTGCAAGGCCAACAAGGTCTTGGTTGCACAAGTCATTTTTGAGGCCACAATCCAAAGCTTCCATTTCCACCATCCCATGTGTACAAGGTCTGTACAAGATTTTTAATTTAACATGAAGTATTTAGAACCATATTTAGAATTATAGGAAATATTATTAACCACGTTAGAAATACCTACAACCATAATAAAAATCTGATTTATGCCTTCTGGCAAGTTTTACTATGACAGTATTAAAATCAATCTGAGTAAAGTGTAGTTAATATATCTCACATTAAAATATTTAAAACTGTCATAAAATTAATTTTTTCTTACTTTGGGCTGAAACAAAATGTTATCAACATTTTTTCATAAGGTTGTAAAGAACCTTCGTTAGGAACACAGGAAATAAAAGTAGTACTGTCCATGGTTTTCATTTTGCGCACGTGGGTCAGATTATTTAAAGCGATGTCTGTTCTTTGATGGATGTCCGTGCCCTGTAATATAAAATCAGAAATAAAAGTAAGGCAAAACATAAATACAAATATTTTAAGAGGAGGTCACAAAATAATTATTAAAATTTTAGAATTACAAAATACAGAATATGTCTTTAAAGTAACACACATAAATTTGACCAAGGCGTATCATAAAATTTGGAGAACTACTGAAAAATTGATGAGAACAGAAATCCCCACAATTTGTCTAGTTTACTTTAGATATATATATTACTATAAATGTTTACTTGATTTCTGTATTTTTTTCAGGTTATAACTGGATACAGATGAAATCAAATCTATCTTCCCATGTCAAAACATATTTCGATTAATAAAACAGCTTATTGTTTATTAGTAGATTTAACACAATCTGTTTCAAATTCTAATACCTGCTATTCCTGTGTTGTACCATTTACTTACCAGTTCTTGTCCCACGGAATCGTCTTGCATGATAGCAACCCAGTTCATTGGTTCCGGACTATAGTTGTGTAGAAGAGCATGTTCGATTTTAGATGTTCCAAAGAAAACTGAACCAAAGTCAATGCATTCCAACTTCTTGTCACTGGTCTTGCTTAGTAATTCAATTATCTGCTCGACCACGTGCGCACAGATGGTCAAGAGCAAATCAGCACGTCCTTGCAAGATGACACTACAAAATAATGAAAAATGCACATATATTTTTTAATCACAAGTCTATATACTTTATTTTTCTTCTAAATATTTAGATGAAGATTAATTTTATAGAATCATGTCATCATTAAAATTCAACAGTGTAAGAGCAGTTCCTTCCAAATATATTTTAGAGGTTATCAGGTCTTTTTGTCTATCAGAATTGACACAGTGGAATGGCATATGTGCCAATAACTGTCTACAGAAAATGAGAATGTTGTAAAACAATCTCATAAATTGACCCCAGAAAGAACTCAATGGAATATCCATGTTACTAATTGTACCTGACGCCAACATCCGAGCAAGATGATCTGCAGCAGAGCCATGGACTTCGGGCCATTCCTCCACCGGAGTTCCTTGTGGGAGAAGCCCGTGCCCTCAGCACGTAGTCATTGTTAATTTCTCCCCTCACCTGTGTTGTTCTGGCTCAATAAAAGGCTGGTGCAGAGGTTGCTCAGGGCTACCCGGAAAGTAAGGGCCAGCCCGCCTTCCACAAGCTTGTACTTCTAATCCGCTTCTTGCCTGGTTCCTTCCTGCCGCTAACCGAGACCAGGGCCACAAGAGCCCGACGGGTCGCAACAACTAATTATTTCATAAATACTAGTTAATTTATACCATTCCCTCCAGATCTAAAATTCTGAGATTGTTTGCTAATTCAATAGACCCCCTCCAATTCAACAGCCCATCTCATCCCCATCACAAAACCTCAATTCCCTAAAATCTAAAGTATTAATATATCAGCAAAAACCAGCTTCTTTGCTGTAATGTATATCTGCCCATAAAAGTTCACTTCCCAAACTAATTTCAATTATCTTTTAGAACTGCTCTTCCATATTCATCCCTCTTTGGCATAAATGCAAGCTTTTCAATCTAGCCCCATCAGACACCACAAATAACTGACTACTCAAAACCATCACCAAAGGGGTGCTGCCCATGGCTCAAAGGAGTAGGGTGCCAGCCCCATATACCAGAGGTAGTGGGTTCAAACCCAGCCCTGGCCAAAAAAGAGAAAAGAAAAAAAAAAAAAACATCACCAAAATTCTTACCTTACACTATATCTGAGAACATAAGGCATTGTTTATATTGTCTCTTTGTATATTTCTCCTCTTTTAGAGTCCTTAACACCATACTTTCCTGGTTTTTCTTCTAATTCATTCAGGCCCTACTTCACCTTCTTCTGAGATATAGATCTTTTGTAAAGTCCATAACTAGTCATGTTTTTCTCTTACATTTTCACACTCTATCCTCCCTTTCAAAGTTATCAATGCTTCAATGTTTTATCTACCACTTATACATGATGACCTTCAACCTAATAGAGGTTGAGTATTCCTAATTCCAAATCCAAAATGTTTCAAAATCCAAAACTTTTTGAGCACTGACATAAGACTCAAAGGACATGCTCACTAGAGCATGCTGTATTTTGGATTTTCAGATTAAGAATGCTGAACCAGTAATAATGCAAATATTCCAAAGCCCGAAAACGTCTAAAACCTGAAACACCTCTGGCCCCAAGTATTTTAGGTAAGGGATACTCAACCTATAAATCTTGACCAGATTTCTTTCTGGGATTCAAGACAAATTCAATAGGCCCTAACCAACTCCACCAGGATTCTGAAAAGCAAATCAATTCAAACATGTAAAAACAGAACTTAAGGTCTTTCTCACAAACCTATTCCATCACTTCCCTTCCTTTTTCCGAAATCTATCAGCAATTCTAGTCAAATCTTCCTTTATAACATATCTCCAATCTGCATACTTCTCTCAGTTCTCTCAATTTGTACTTTAGCTCAGGCCTTTATCATTTCTCTCTTGCTTTACCGTTTTAGTTTCTAGTCAAACTGCCCATTCATATTTATACTTCCTGGTCTGTTTTGCACACTGCTACTAGTATGACCTTTCTAAAAGGCAACCTAATCAAGACATTCTCATCTTCAAAACTTCCTGAAACTTCACAGCCTTGACAATAAAACGTAATCTCTGATTCGAGTTCATAGTTGTTTCTCACACATTTACCAGTGTAACTATGACCTTCAGTAAGAAATATATTTTACATTGCAATGTAGGAACACACACATACAAATATACATTCACACGTTCATACACAAAGATACTTTCTAATATTTGAAATTCATTTTGTAAAAATTTTGGTAGTGATACATTATATTGGTTGCATATTCTCCTAATGAACTGAAACATACAGCATAACATGCTGGCTTACAAGGCCCTTTACTGAACCTTGCACCATTCTGTTTTTCTGGTCTCATCTCCCATCACTCCACACCTCCATCTCTTTGAATCTACATTGCCACAGATTACTCAGCATGAAATATTGGTTTTTTGCCTCTAAGATTTCATGACTCTACTTATTCAGCCTGAAATCTCTCCTTTAATTCACTCCCATCACCACACCCTCCTCCTCTGCACACATACCCACCCCCACCCCCACCCCCATATTGCACCCTTCTATTTGCTCAGAAATAAGTGATTGGTTCAAATATAACCATCTTAATAGAACCCTTCCCTTGTTCACTCTCTCACCTCCATGAAATCCAAACTAGAAGATTCTATTATGTGTACCCATATCACATCCTCTAGTTCTTCGCATTTCTGAGAGCCTACTACTTGGCAAATAGCATAGATTCAATGAGTGAATGCTGAATGAAAGAACAAAGAAACTAGCACACAGTAAAAGGCACATCTTAAGGATGAAATAGGAAAGTATTGAGATCTATGTTAGAATTAAGAACCATAGTATATACTCACTTTGCCTTTTCGTTTACAATTCTAGGTTGGTCTGCGCAGAAATCCACTTTTATAACCGTTGATGATTCAGGTGCTACGATACCACTGGTTGGAGAAATGATGATAGGTAGTTGGCCCTGGTATTCTGTATTAAATGTACCTAAGAGGAACAAGAGCAGATAGTTTCTATCCGGACCCTTACAATGTTGCATTCACACTCTTATTAGGAGACAGACACTCATTACAGAGTAGATGGGCTCCTGTTTACCAAGAATAGCAGCTTAACTCATAAGTCTGATCTCTGAGATCACCCCACATATGTAAGCCTCGTGTTAGGACTCAACTTTCACTAACAGTTAAAATACATTGTCTGCTTACTATGTACAGATATTTATGTTAAGAACTTTGCATGTTATCCTATTTAATCCTCACAAAGAATCTGTGATATAATTTTAATCATTATGTCCATTTTACAAATAAGAAAATATCTTTGTTGAGTGACTTGCCAAAAGTCAGAAAAATAGTATTATATATTAGATTGTTGACCCCAGTTCTTTACCCTTCTCTACAGCCATACCCCTACCCTATAATGTACAAAGTGTGTTTTCCTATCCCCTTGATTTTGGGATAGATAGTATAATTTGCTTTGGCCAATAACATATGGGTGGAATTGATAGCAGGTAAGTTCCAACCCAGATGTACTTCTTACATAGGAAGTGGGAGGAGTTTCTACTGAGAAGCTATCCCTTTGGCCAACGCCCTAGAATAAGCAAATATGGAGCAGAACCACCCAGTGGACCCATAGACCTACAGTGAGAAATAGAACAGCTCCAGCAGAGCAAATAGCTGTGCAGAGCCTAGATCACTCAAGTTTAAGCCAATCCATATGCACACAGACAATTAAAAAAATAGTTGTTATTTTAAGATATTTGGGGGTGGCTTGTTACAACAGCTAGTAACTAGTAAAGCTGATTAACCAATAAAGTTTTTCACTTGGATACTTCTGACAACAAGGATGACACCTATAATAGCTGCTATCACTTTCCTAGAAATGAATTTATCCAGTGCACACAGGGTAAGGGCAAAGGGGATAGGTTTCTGGAATCAAATGGCATATTAAAAGGAGACTACAAAGGTTCCTATTTTGAAAGTAGAAATAGTTTATAATTTATGGTAATGTTTGGTGTCTATATTAAAGCATGAGATCCTTAAGATCAGATACAACCTCTTCTTCATCTCTGAGTTCAAAATACATTCCACCAATGGAAGCAGCCAATCACTAGTTTCTTTATAATCATTATAAAATATCAACACAAATGAGCATGTTGCAAACATAAACAATTTTGTAAATTCCCAAGTCACCACTTTAACATCACATTTGATGACATTTTCCAAAATTATTCATTTAACTTAGAACAAAATATTAGCATAATAAAAGTACTGATGTAAAAAGACAACATGTTTAAAATTCAAAGTAACACAATTTGTTAATTCAATCATTTTGTAGAAGTGCTAATGACATATTTTAAGTTCATTTTTTGTCATAATATAAAACAAAAATCTATGAAATCATATGCCTTTTGAATAGATAAGTGTTATTTACTTATTTGAACAGATAAGTATTATCTAGAAAAAATAGCTATATGAGATCAATTAAGGTTGAGTGAAATAGTTCCGTACTTTGCAACTATTCAGACATAATTTGACAAAAGAGGTTTAAGTGAATATTTCAAAAGCTTATTCAGAAACAACCCCAAATCCAAAAGCATACTGTTGATTTCTAAATGTATTAAGATAACAAGTATGTCAACATTATAAGTCTTACATAACTTTAATACAAGAAACTATTTCTCTGTTTAGTTTTTAAATTGCTAATAGGAGCAAGGACATTGGCGCATGTGTGGGAAATAAACTAAAAGGAGACAAGAGGTGTCTTCAAGTTAATAATTTAGGTTGGCATAGTTACTAGGCAAGAGAAGATGATGGCCTGTTGTAGAAAGTGGCAATGAGACAGAGAAAAGTAGGATTATAGATTTAATTAGGAAGTTGATAGACAGGATCTACTAATTAACTAAGGGAGTAGGAGGCAAAAAAGAAAAAGATGTTGATGATTTTACCAGGTTGCTAACTTGCCTAAATACATGGCAGTGACATTCCATGAAAAGGGAAAAAGAAGTAGTATTGGGGAAAGATACTGATTTTGGCTTTGGACTTGCTAAGTTCAAGAAAACTGAAGGATACCCAAAGTATCATATAGATCAGGCATAGTCAGTGAAATTTTAAAAAAAAAATGGAAATTGGCCAGGGATAGTATGTTAACTGAGGAAAACATGAAGATCTATGGTAAAACAAAGGAACATTCACATTTAATGTTCCAAGAGACAAGCAGCAGTCCACAAGAAAGAAATGAAGGGCTCGGCGCCTATAGCTCAACCGGCTAAGGCGCCAGCCACGTACACCTAAGATGGCGGGTTCGAATCCCCAGCCCGG